ACTATCTGCTATTACTACCGCCGTTAGGATGCTTTGCCTCCTGGTCCTGTACAGCGCTGTGACAATCATCGCTGGAGCGGCGCGAGCCTCAGGGATCCCTACGCTCGGGGTTCAGGGCTCTTCGGGTTTAGGGTTTAAGGAGTTTAAGGTTTGGGGTTTAGGGCTTGGGGTTTAGGGTTTAGGGAGTTTAGGGTTTAGGGTTTAGGGTTTGGGGTTTGGGGTTTGGGGTTTAGGGTTTGGGGTTTGGGGTTTAGGGCTTGGGGTTTAGGGTTTAGAGAGTTTAGGGTTTGGGGTTTAGGGTTTAGAGTTTAAGGATTAGGGTTTAGGTTTTAGGGTTGGGGTTTAGGATTGGGGTTAAGGTTCAGGATTCAGGGTTTAGGGTGAGGGTTTAGGGTAAGGGGTTTAGTTTAGGGTTCAGGGTTTAGGCTTAGCACACAGGCTTTCAGGGATGCAATACAAGGGCCGAAAAAATTTGCAAATGCTCTTCCTTAGGGTTTATTACAGTTGTAGCATACTGGGTCCCAAAACCCTGTTCTATTTATAAAGGGCGCTATAGTAGGCTCAGCATACAGGTTTTTGGGGATGTAGGGAGTTAGGGTTAGGGTTTGGGGGTTTAGGATTCAGGCGTTTAGGGTTCATGACTGCAGGGATTACCGGTTTAGGGTTTTGGGTTCTTGCAGGTTCAAGATACCACTGTTTGTGGTCTTCTATCCTTACCTTCTGGGCTATTCCTTAGTTAGGGGTCGGCCCTGTAGGTTTGCCACCAAGATGAGGATGAGAATTGTCTTCGGGGTGCTGTATGCTGCATCTCTTGAGAGAAGCCTATGTTATCGGAGTTGCCAGAAGCTGTGAGGCAAGTGGCCTTGCATAAATGACGCGGCTTGGGCAGTGCAGTGCCAGAAAAGAGATGTAGATGTACGGGAAAGGTTGATGTTCCAGTTACAGTTGTTCGAAAAAGTGCGATCTCGTTTTGGGTGGGTGAGGCCAAGTGTCCTATTCTTGTTTTTTGTAGTGTGTGTGGGTGTGCGTTTCGTCGATTGTTGTTGTTGGGGCTTCGCGGAACAGACTGCCACAAAGACTGACCGAAAGACTGACAGTAAGATAAACAACCGCGTAACATGGACAGGTGGTCAATTGCAACCTTCTGCACCCCGAACTCCAAAGCGTCCCAGGTCAACTTTTTCGCCCTTCTCCCCGCCGCGGGCCTTTTAGAGTCCGTCGAGATTGCCTTGCGCCTCGTCATTGCAGATCTTAAGCTGTTCATACTATACGGGTTTACATGCAGCTAGGGGTTCGAGAGTTTAAGTATGTTGTAGGCTTTGGGGGTTTAGTGTTCGGGGGTTGAGTCGAAGTCGTTTTACGGTGATCGCGTCGAGTTTGAGGCTCGAGGTTTCTGGCGTCGGTCTGCACGTCACAGTTCCTGCAGCTCCAGTGGGGTTGCATAGGGTTACTACAACAAGGATTACCGGAAGGTTTTCTTGATGGGGGTTTTAGGGTAATCTAGGGTTTTAGGTTGGTGGTTTTGGGTATCTCTAACCCGAAAAGCCTTGCTTGCTATTTGGATATTTAGACCCTTGTGGTTTGCTTTTGGAAGCTCTGGAGCATGCAATGTCGTATGGTGAACCCAAAAAAAGTTGGAACATGGCTTTAGGAGGATTAGTGCTAGGATCCCCTTACTATACTATACTTTCATTTCATGGGGATAATGATGTTCCAACTTTCTGGGCTCTACTGTCAATACAGTTCCGAAAACTACTCCCAAGAGGATGCCACGCCCCAACCGCACTGGTATATTTTTGGTGTTAAGCTGTAGTCTCCTTAGGAATCGTGTTTTCTTTATTTTCATATAAAGCCCAAGAGAATATTAAGATAATGTCTTTTCTATTGTGGTTCTAAGGGGGGGTATAGTAAGCACCTTGCTACATGGGAACCGCAATCTTAGGGGTACGTAGAAGCAAGTTTAATCTTGGGTTGTTTGAAACCCCTATAAGAAACAGCCAAAATTTCAATGTTTGCTAGGGGTCTAAGTTCAGTATAGTAATGCAGACCCTAAAGTTCTGGGTTAAGTTGACATCTCCGCCAGATGAGCCATGGCTTGGGGAAGGCTGAAACCGCAATCCCCACAGCCTTCGACCCCCTATAGTAGCCTCTTACGATAGTGACCTCTTGATCCGTATAGCTCTAAGATCGAAAATCGCTTCCCCTGATAGTTACCCCGTAATCTGTTTTTGAAGCAATACCGAAACGCAATAGCCGAACAACACTTTTGCCCTTCCGTTTATCCTGCGAGGAGTATGGCCGTTCGATTCAGCCTTCAGCCCAACCGGTCCAAGTCCCAATGCACAATGTTTTTCTAGTGCCCAAATATTCAATTAGTACTTGGGCTTCTTGGAAAGCTCAACATTCCCAGCTTCGGTGGAGAGGTACAACTCCTTGGTCGCGCTACTTTTGGCATGCCACATATGCTGCATGACGACGAACCCAGGCGCGGCCAGCAAGCGGTTCACGTTGGAAGCTATGCTTCGGAACTACGGTTTGTGATATAAGCGAATATAAGCCCTGCATAACCGCAAGGACCCTAAACTATGGGAATAATGGTATATTCCTTATTCTGGACAATGCAGGATATATATATATATATATATATATCATCATCATCATCATTATCATCATCAGCATCGACATCATCATCATCATCACCATCATCATCACTATCATCATCACCATCATCACCATCAACAGCAGGAACCCAAAAATAAACTCTTCACCCTTTCGTCTCCACGGCAAAAAGCACAAACGCGCCAGGAAGAGCCAAGGATTTCGTCGACCAGGAACAGGTTTTGGTGATGGCTGGTAAAGTTTAAGGTTCAGGGGTTTATGGGTTTAGGGGTTTTGGGGTTCAGGGGTTTAGGAGTTTAGGGGTTCAGGATTTAGGGCACGACCAGGTCTTTGTTGGTGGTTCCTTGGGGTTACCATAAGGGTCCATTACGAGTGGCATAGGGTCTTGTACTTGGGTTTGGGATTCTGGGTGGTGCCAATTGCGACTCAAGGGTTCTCTATGTCTCCTTGGGGGGTACTTGGGGGGTCGGGGGACGTAGTAAGTAGTTAGTAAGTCGACTTATAAATACCCTAAAAGGGACCCTAATTGGGGTTATGGTACTATAAGTCCCTAAAATAACCAGTTACTAAGTCCCCCGACCCTCCAAGTAGGGGGTGGGGGGGGGAGTGAAGCCTAAGCACCCTAAAGCCCTAAACCCTAAACCACCCTTTGAAGGCGGTCGAATATCCAAGCTTTACGAGCTTGGATTCTATTGCCGGGATTTTGAGCTAAGCGTGGTTGTGGAGTGTAGGGCTTACTTGGAGGGTCGGGGGACTTAGTAACTGGTTACTGTAGGGACTTATAAGTACCATAACCCAATTAGGGTCCCTTTCAGGGTACTTATAAGTCTACTTACTAACTACTTACTAAGTCCCCCGACCCCCCAAATAGGAAGGCTTTGGGAGTGTCTGGAGCTCCTGCGCTTCGGGATTTAAGGGATCGCAGCTCGGGCTTGGTATGGGAGTTTCCGAAAACTAGGGGCACCATATTTTGGGGTCCTTAGAATAAGGATCCTATTATTTAGGGTACTATACTAGGGTCCCCTATTTTTGGAAACTCCCATATGACTGCTGGCTTGAGGTCAGGGGTTTGGGCCTAGAGGTTTTGGGGGGGTAAACCTTGCACTCTAACTTGACCCAAACACTAAGCCTTAAGCGCATTTACAGTTTTAGCTCCAGCGCATGGACATTGTGGATTCAGGCCTCTCTACTACCTTTCTCGGGCGACGTGTTCGAAATCCCATTGGGGCTGTCTTGAAGAGCACTGTGCGGATTGTATTTGGTGTCTGCAGGGGTTCGAGGACTCATAATACGGTTCTACAAATATAGAAAGCCAAGACCCAAGGTTCAACAGCCGTCCAGCCAAACAGCACGTAAAGACCGTGTACCCTAAATCCTAAACCTTTTTGCCCCAAACCCCTCCCTGAACTATGCAGAACCCTCGTAAAGCCCTGCATGCATGAGCCGACTGCCCTGAAGCCCTATAACAGTGAAGACACTGGAGCTCATACCTTTACGACCTCACAACTCCATAAGCAACAGAAGTCACAACCCAACGATTCGTATAGATGGTGTTCTGAATCACTGGTAACTAAATTCCCCTTGGGTCCCTGTATAGCTACTATAATCCCGCCCAGCCGCCGGCAAAGCCCTTTGGAAACTCACCATGCGCAAGCTCATATGCATCACAGATTACAAACCACCAGAAGACAACTACTGGTCAAGCTTAGCCGGTTATCCGGAAGCTCACTTATTCGTCAAAAGGATGCTACATCAGCACAATGGCCCAGTGTCCATCAGAAGATTGGTCAGCCTTTCCTTATAAGCAGGCCCACAGTTTCCGAACGTTTCTCGAGTTTTCTTAGAAACTTTCGGGCTTCGGGTTGTAAGCAAATTTTGAATACATATGCGTCACAGGCATTAGCAGTTAGGATGTTGGGCTCAGCATTGAGGGCTTCATCCTCTAGCATTTTGAGGCTTTGGGGTTCAGTCAGCATCCGTCTTTGCCGTCCGCACTGGCTCTGAGACCCCCAAAGAGAGGTGAAGCGCCGTGCGCTCTAGATCCTTGACTGCTGGGTTTTGGTGCCTCAGGAGGGCTAGCTAGGCTTCGGGCTCAGGATATCAAGTTTGGTGTTATTAAGGCTTATAGTAGAGTTCGGCTTTATAGCTTGAAGGGGCTAGGACAGTTCGGATTTAGGGGGGAGCCTGATGATAAGGGTCCCCTGCTCTTTGCACAAGAATGTTCGAACAAGACCCGCAAAACCTCCCTAAACCCAAAACTGAAAACCTGAACCCCTAAGCTCTAAACCCTAAAAGCCCTATGCATTTCCAGAAATCTGTACAGAACCCTCAGGAACGACAACCCTAGCACACTTAAGCCGGCAGCGTGCATCCGCTGAGTGATGGCAAACCAAGCCCCAGGCGGAATCACATGTTGGGGTTAGGATTCAGGAATTTTGGGTTTAGGGGTTTTAAAAGTTTTAGGGTTTTAGAGGTTTAGGGGTCTAGGGGTTTTACGGGTTTAGGGTTTAGGTGAGATTATGCAATGTGGAGGTCTAGGTCAGGTAGCCCCTCAAGACCTCTAGAACCGAAGCAGTGTTGACACGGCTGTAAAAAGTGCAGCGCGAGTCAAGTCACAGCACCGAGCACCAGATCAGCAACGATGACCTGTTATTTTGATGATAGCGTGCTGGGAGTGCCTTTGATCATGACGCTGGTGATGGTGAGAGGGCCTGTCCAGGCAATGATGTTCAAAACATGCTCTGTCGCCGCCATGACCAGCATCATCACCACCAACAGCAGCAGCAGGCTTTTATGTCCGCGCCATGTCTCGTCTTTATCATGACCAACATCTCTGCACCGTCACTGTCATTATCGCCTCATCACCGCCACCATCCCCAGCTTTGCACGAGGCGCACACTGCGCGGTTAAGGGTTTTACAGACCCCATGCCAGGCAGTACTGCAGCTGGAGGTGGACGAGGTGTCTTCCGATCTCAGCTGCAAATTCAGGACCGCGCGCTGCGAGTTCACTGCTTAAGTTGGAGCTCAAAAAGTCCAGACTCTGAGATATTTTCTGCCCTGTTTCAGAGGTCCGGAAGACATTTTGTGTTCGTCGGAAGCCTGCCTGCTCCAGATTGGTCTCCAAGGTTACATCCTACGGCGTACCTTTTTAAGAAATCGGAGGGTTGGGGGGCTATGGCTGGAGCATGGCAGAAGCTGGGAAGCCAACCAGAACAGTCAGTAGCACACCCAATCCCAATTGAAGAGTTTGACCCGACGGCGCAAAGTTCCTTAAACCCTCAATGCTTGGCGAAGCCGCAGGAAAGCCGCGAAGGACATCAGGACAGGAGAATGCAAAAGTGACAGCCCAGGTTGCAGTTATGGTTTGCAGGGGTTTTCGGGTCCGGGGTTGACGTTCTAACGATGGGTTAACGTTGTGCTGTTAAGCTGCGATCGAACATGAAGTTTTCAGGAGAAGTACAGTGCTGAAAGGTTGCAAGTACACGTGACAATCGTGAGAGAACTGCTGCTGCCACTGTCGGGGGTGTTGTTGCTGAGGACTCTCGTGGTGGTGATCACGCTGCTGCTGATGATGATGATGATGACCATCGTCGTCACGGTGCTGTCATTCTTATCAGTTCGCGGATGGCGACGCTGATGATGACGACCACGAGTCGTGAGGATGATGGAGATATTGACGATAATGAGGATGATGAGGATGATGACGATGGGGAGGAGTGCAGGTGGAGGAGGATAGCCATGCATCCGGAATCCCGTGATCCCCGGCTCACGTGACCCAAACGCTTGTGGCAAGGACGAGGTGAAATGGCCGACTCTGGAGTCAGAAGACAGTTGCAGCCTTGGATGAACACGCAGAACAAATCGTCTCTCCTCTCTCTCGCTCTCTCTGGGCTCGCAGGCAGGGTGTGAGTTCGTACAGTAAGTCTTAGAGCAGTCGGTGCAACTCTTATCTTCGAGCCTCCTAAACCGTAACATCCTGTGGCATTGGCGCTAGGCCTCTGACCTGAGACCCGACATCCTATCAACCCTAAACTTCAGATCCCCACGTCTAGACATAGAATCTCAAAAAAATAAAACCAAAGTGACTCAACCCGAAATGCCAACTTTCCCAGACCTAAACCTCAAACGCCAAACTCACAGTCCTTCCCCCTTTCCTTGTAGGCAATGAGCCCTGCCTAGAGTAGCCAATGTACAACTACCCTAAGGCCCCCAAAGTAGTTCCTTTTTGGGGTTCACATTTAGAATCCTATAAGGTAATCCCAAAAAGGAACTACTTTGGGGCCTATGGGTAAGAGACGAGACGTGATCCCAAACTGTAGGTACCTTGGTTACTGTAGGTAGAACCAAGGGAGTAAACGCGACTAACTCAAGCAACGCTGCGGTCAGCCCAAACCAAATGGGTGGTTGTCAAAATTGGGGTCCCTTTTTGGGTCCTTCTTATAATACGGCACCTATTGTTTAGGGTACCCAAAAAGGGACCCTAATTTTGACAACTACTCAAATCCAGACGCCAAGCTTGCAGAACTTCGAAAAGAAGACGTTCTCGGCCTCGAGGACTCATCTGCGTAGTTCTCTAAATTAGGGTCCCTTTTCGGGTACCTTAAATATTAGGTGCCGTATTATAATAGGGACCCCAAAAAGGGACCATAATTTTGACAACCACCCAGAGGCGTAGTTCTCTAAATTAGGGTCCCTTTTTAAGATCGTCGTTCATCCCTATCTTACGATCCTCTTTTTTGAGAGTTCTACACTACACTCTTTGGGGGACCTGAACGGGGACCCTACTTCGGAGAACTGCCCATATGTTGAAGCTTTCGAACCCACAGACCATACAATAGAAGGCTTTGGGGTCATTTTGAGGCTGAGGGAATGATCTGAACCCTAAAAGTTTACCGAGCGGGGAAGCCCGAAACAGTTGCTTTTATATCCTAAACGCAGAACCTTACTAGTTGAAGCGGGGCCTCAGCAAATCAGCAACCTAAACCCTCAACCATGACCCTAAACCCCAAAACCCTATAAACCCTAACCCTAAGTCATGAACCCTAACCCCTACACCCAATGAGCGCTACAAACCACAAACCTGGGCGTTGTGCCCAGGTGAGAGCCAGAGCTCTGCGTCTTCCATCTTCCAGCAGGCCATAGCTCCAAATTGCAATGCCTAGGGTTTAGGGTTTAAAGTTGTTGCTGGTTTAGGGTTTCTAGGGTTTAGGTTTTATAGGGTTTAGGGTTAATCTATAGGGCTTACAGGGTTTATAGGGTTTATAGGGCTTATAGGGCTTATAGGGTTTAGGGTTTAGGGGGTGCGTAGGGCTTTCAGGCTTTAGGGGGCAAGCCCCGGAGCTTCGAAGCCCTGTGTCCTCAAAGCCTCAACCTACACAGACAGCAGCCTGAAACCCCAAAGCCCTAAATGACCCTCAAGCCCTAAAGCCCCACCCTAAATGACCCTAAAACCCCGAAGCCCCAAAACCCTAAAGCCCCAAAACCCCCCCAAAAAAAAACCAAAGCCCTAAACGGCATTAACCCTAAACCCTATAAACCTTAAACCCTAAACCCCTAACCCTAAAGCCCCAACTGCAAGATTGTAGCAGGGCCGGGTTCCTATCGGCTGGCTGGTGTCCGACAGCGGCTCTTCTGCTCACGACCGATCGGAGCGGCAGGAAGCTGAGGATCTGGGTTTCATATGAAGTAGGGTTAAAATTACCGTTTTGGTGAGTGTAGATAGGGCTCCTTTTGAATTTTGGTGAGTGTATATATTGGGTTCTATTATTGGGATATTAGTAATATAAACCATACTCCATATAAAAAAAAAAAAATATATATATATATATATATAGGGGGGGGTTTAGGGTTTAGGGGTTTAGGGTTTAGGGCCCTTCATAATTATACGGTTCCTTTAAAGGGGTCTATATGGGTTACCGTAAGGGATCTATATGGGGTGCTATTTCTGTAGGGGCTTCAGCGATTACCTGTAGGGTTTTTTTTAGGGGCTCCTTATCATATGTATTATAGTATAATGGGCACCAAAACCCTATTCTAATTATTAAGGCCCCTATATCATGCAGCTCTGGGGTTGAAGGCCTAAGAGCTTTCGGGACTTGGGGGGTGTATGGGGGGGATTTCGGGCTTTCGGTCTACCGTTGAAGGCTTCAGGAATCAGGATGTGTGTCTTAGGTATAGGGGTTCAGGGTTCTGTGGCTTCGGGTGGAGGGCCTGCTGACCCTACTTGGGGGCTCGGGGGACTTAGTAAGGGCTCCTTTAAAGCTTTAAAGGGGATTCTAAGGGTTCCTTTAAAGGGATCTATAAGGGTAGTATAGGGTTTGGGGTTTAGGGGTCGGGGGAGTTAGTAAGTAGTTAGTAAGTAGACTTATAAGTACCCTAAAAGCGACCCAAATTGGGGTTATGGTACTTATAAGTCTCTAAAATAACCAGTTACTAAGTCCCCTAAAGGCACTCCAAGTAAGAGCCTCCATCTTGGTCGAAGCCAACGAGACATGGTGTCAAGAGGGATCCCTGAAGTACCTTTATGGTAGAATGTAGGGTTCCTATATGAGGAATTACTATTATGATTTGGGGAAGTATCCCCCATAACATACTTTGGACCCTGGAACTCGTTGAAGAAAAGCTATGTTGATTCTCTTCTCTGGGTAGTCGCCCAGAGATCCCAATACCCTACTTGTATTAGTTACGGAATATACCTTACTTAAATCATAATTAAAAATAAGGCCTCTACAAATTCAAGGTATATTCCTTGATGAAGGGGTATTGGGCTCTCTGGGCGGGTGTTGGCTGATTGGCCAGGTGCTTAGGGGTTTGGCCCACCCTTTTGGGGGTTGGCTGCCGGCTGGCTGAGTTGCTGGTGCCCCAGAGGGTGAGGAGTAGGCCTCAACCATGAAGCGTCCTCTGAGTCGTGACTGATCGCATGAACGAATGTGCCTAAGTTGACAGAAACTGGCAGGGTTTTAGGGTTTAGACTTTGAAAAACAAACCGAAGCCCGCAGACCCCAAACCATAGATCCAAAAGCCCTACATATCCTATGTAAACGCTACGCCCCTAAACCCCCTAAGCCTCAAAGCCCCTAAAACCCGAACCCCCAAGCCCTAAACGCTGTAAGCTTCAAAACCCCTAAACCCTAATCCCTAAACCCTAAACCCTCCACCCTCTAAACCCTATAAGCCAAACCTTGAAACCCCAAAGCCCCCAGGGCGTCTGGCGGCAAAGATTCCCAAAACACGTCCAGCTCATCGAGTCTGGATCTCGGTTCTGTGCTGCGGTTGAGTGTTTAAGGCTTTGGGTTTAGGGTCTGTAGGGTTTAGGGTTTGTAGGATTTCTAGGGTTTAGGGATTTAGGCTTTTCGGGTTTAAGGGTTTTAGGGTGTTGGATCTCCGGGGTTTTAGGTGTTAAGCTTTTAGGGTCTAGGTTGTATGGTTCAGGGTTTAGGACTTCAGGGTTTAGGGCATTAGGGTTTTAGGGTTCAGGGGTTTGAGGATTTAGGAGTTTTGGGTTTAGGGTTTCAGGACTTCACGGGTTTAGGGTTAGGGTTCGAGGGTTTAGGTTGGAGGGCTGAGAGCTTAGGGTTTAGGGCTTCGGATGTTAGGGTGTGTTTAGAATTCGGAATTCGGCAGGACTCAAGCAGGTTTGGGGTTTAAGCCAGCATCTGAAGATACCAGGAGGAAGGCTTATGCGTAGCTTGTATGTGCGGCAGTTGGGATAGCAATCGTCAGCCCTATCGTCACATGTAGTCACTTTTCGACATGCCTGGTCATGGACCGCACGAGTCCGGATGGACCCCGTTTAAGTTCAGGGCTTGCGGAACCCTAAACCATTAACCCCTCAGACATGCAAACGATTTTGCAAAGGCTCGCAACTCCACCGGGCTGGCTTTGCAGCAAAGAGCGAAAGCCTTTTGAACACTCCGACAACCAGAGTCCTGTAAGTAAAATAGCCTATAATCATAATAGGGGTCTGAATATCTGGACAAGGGATTTCGGCTAGAGGCTATCGCGGAGTCACGGAAGTTCGAGTCTTTGGGAAGGACCCATATTGCGGCCATGTACAGACCCTCACCCAGAGAACCCAGTACCCCTTATTGAAGAAATATACCTTAAACTAAAGAGACCTGAACAGAATGGCTTAAGGTATATTCCTTAATTAAGGGATATTGGGATCTCTGGGCAAACCCCGTACAACAAAGCCGCAACAACGCCCTAATGAGCATCCTAGGAAGAATGATCCCTAGGTTGCTGAAACCTCGCTTCAGGCGCAGAGCAGCAAGCCGCTCGTCTTGCAGGCCGGCGCCATATCTTGGCCTTCGAGTCCTAGTCAGTTAGGATCAGGTTCGCTTTGTGGTTTAGGGTCCCAATTTAGGGTTTAGGGTTCATAGGGTTCAGATTTGAAAGGTTAGGGCTTGTGAGCGCAGCTAGGTTACTTACAGGTTTCCGGCAGAAGACTCAGGGTTTGCTATGCATTGCTGTGAGCTTAACTGGCGACGGTAAATCTTGATTCGAGGGTTTAGGGTTTAGGGAGTCTTGATTCGAGGGCTCTCGACTCTTCATGCAATGCAAGCATATTTCAGAACTGAATCCCATGAAGCGGTTTCATCTGTTTGCCATCCCTGCTTGAGTGTCCTTTGTTGGTGTCTGGCAATCTCTGTACCTGCCCAGAACCCAATACCCCTTAATTACGGAATATACCTCAAATCATAATACTAAGGCCCCATATAATTTACGGTATATTCCTTAACTACGGGGTATGAGGTTCTCTGCACCTGTCTGGCGGTCTACTCGGCATTTAGAGAAGTGTTGTGTTTCTGCCCGGCTGATTCCCTGCCTATTTAGGCCGGAAATACAGCCTTCCTCTTTAATATCAACTAATTAATTGAATACAATATTTTTAATTGAATCATTGTCATCATATATCTTTATGATAGTCCCACAACGTTCTTGGCCATGCAAAGATTAGCTGATTAGCTTAGCTGAATTTGTCGAGTGACTGGTGGCCCCTGCTGGCCCTGTGCTCCCTGTGTCTGTGTCTTTGTGTCACCCCTTGTGGCAAGGTCTGTCAACCATGAACAAAAAGCCGGCAAACATACTTAGTCCCAATAAAGCAAGGGCTTGCAACGAAGCGCTGACCACTGCAACATCATTGAAGCTCTTTCCTGAAGTTGCATGTTGTGTCGCGAAGGTCTCACTTTGAATACTTGGGTAACCTGTTTAAACCAGAGGAAGAGGCCATGGCTGAATGTAGGTCGTATCGATGCGGCTGACAATGTGGCTCACAGCATTGACGTCACATAACTGAGAATTGTACCACTCACAGCACCATTAACTGTCGCACTAGCGACGAACCGCTGGTTCAAACTTCTAGCGCTGTTCTGCTTATAGCCTTCACAGGTATGTGCCGTTTGCGATGTTCTGTTGACTGCTCGCAACTCGCTGAGGCCTTATCACTACTATCAGAATTCAACTATATGTAGGAACCTGATTAAGAAGCCCAGGTTCTTTACTCGGGGTCGTTAACTAACTACCACCTGCAGTTATGCCAGTGCTTGGGGTTGCGAGTTTGTCCAGAAGTCTGCTCCTGACCTGCGGCGAGAGCTTTGTGGGTCAGAGAAGTCTGGGTACCGTATTTTGGGGTACATACAATAAGGATCCTACTAGTTAGGGTGCTAAATTAGGGTCCCCCATTTTCGGAAACTCCCAGAACACCAGGAGGACGAGTGCAAGACGTCCCTGACACGCTGAGTGGCAGAGGCAAGGGTCAACCTGTGCAGGCCAGCCATGCCGGGGGTCTAGGGTCCTGTGGGAATCAGGCATGGCCTTGGAGCATAAGGTGGTAGTTGCTTTGGGCTTCAGCAGATAGATTTGGATGGGGATCGTCCATTTTTTCACCGACTGTCTTCTTGATAAGGTTTTAAATGTTGGTCGCTTTAGGGTACCTTATCCATAGACTGTTTTGTCCTCCATAGACTGTTTGGTCCTCACCATCCTAAACTATTTCCACTGCTTCAAAGTGTCCCGTCTTTCAAGCTTGGGGGCGCTTTGCCTTGCGGCCTTTTAAACAAGCGGTCGAGGGTCCCGGCGTTTTGTTCGTTTCAAGATATCGATCACACGTCCGTTTGCACCAGGACACATGGAGATTTGGAGGCAATATTATGTTTCTCACCAGTACTCAGTTTTTCGCTTTGCATTGCCGGAGACTGTGTTTGTTTTGTCTTGGGTCCCGTGTGGAGCGCATAGCGATGATTCCACATGGAATATTGCCGTTCTATGTGAGACGGTTTGTGACTGGAGACGCGAACACGCTAGCACCAACCGCTAAACTCAAGTTTGATGATCGGTTTCACGACTCGCGAGCAGTTTCAACAGTAAGTACTTTGGGGTAGTTGCTTCCTTTGACATGGAAAAGTGTTTTTTCTACAGCAGCCCTGCGGATCTTTGTTAACACTGATCCGAACTGTTGCGCACCACAACATCAACTCGATTCGTGCAATTTCCCCAACCACATGGTGACGCAGTAACCCGTATATCACTTATTCACCTATATCTACCCGCACAGGACCCCATCCTGGAGCGTTTGACTTTTCTGTGCGCTTTCCGGTGCAGGCCGGCAAGACTGGGTACTCTTCCTCGTCCTGGTCGGCCCTGAGATTGCGGACAGAGGGAGAGTGGTTTTGGGAATGAACTTATAGGTGCCAAAATACATAAGTTAAGTTGATGATACAAAGCCTGCGTGACCCATCATGAGGAATATCCAGTAATTCCCATAGTCAAGGGTCATTAATGTAGTGTAGGGTTTATATAGTCAACCCTAGGATAAGGCTTAGGACAGCGGCTTGGTGCATATTGACCTCGAGTTGATTGTGTAGGGATTACTATGGGGGCCCAAATAATCCTAGGTCGTATTAGGGAGACCCCTTAAAGGGGACCCTTCTTTACCCTACTTGTGGTTCTCATAAAGGGGACCTGATTGAGAGGGTCTCTATCCCCAAGAGTCCCATTAATCCCAACTCCTAAATAATTACCTATGCTATTTGGGGGGCTCCTTGTCATAAATATATAGTTTAATGGGCCCAAAACCATATCTTAGTTATCAATCCCCCTATATTACTTGAGAGCCGCACGTACCACCCGCATAGTACATAGTTGCTTTAACTTTTTTTACGAAGTAATATAGCATCTACTTCACTGCCAACGAATCAGACACCGGAATAGCAACCCCAACATTAACGACCATAGTGAATGCGCTTTCACGAGCTCCTGTCTAGTGCTGTAAACTTTCACTATGAAGCCACTCGCAGGATTGAGGGGAGTGCGCTGTTATATGTGAAGGTTTGCGACGACCTTCGAAGAGACCGAGATTGAGGACCTGGCAGCTACGCAGGAGCATCGGGGATATCTCGGCCACTGAACCTATCAGAGTACCCATCCTAACTGTGCTTGTGCTACCGAACTTACCGAACCCGATCCCTGCACCCTCTTTTCAGTTCGTAAGCTGTAATTATGACCTTCAACCCGAAAACACTCACTCTGGCGACCTAGAACCTTGGAAAGCCCTGAGTTTTCACAATGCATCAAGCCCCAGAAGCCTGAAAAGCGCAAAAGAGCCCTAGTCAGAATCATACAAATAACAACCACAAAGAGAACTAGAATACTCATACGCGATAAGACTACTAGCAACACAGAAACAAGAAGTAGTACTAAGAATGACAACAAATAAGTCGGCGAGGAAAAGAAGAGCTCAGCCCGTGGCTCCAGCTCTTCCTTCGGCGCGCTGACGGGCGCGGCCTGTCCCAAGTAGTATTAATTTAGGAGTGTTAGTAGTATTACTACTTACCTTTAGTAGTGTTTTGTTTTTGCATTGTTGTTATTACGACTACAATGCTACAACTATCATTCTCATAAGGGTGCGGGAAGGAGTTTGCAAAATCTGGATTTGCAGGCGGTCCTAGGGGTTAAGGCGCATGATGAGCTTTGCTGATTAGGGGCAAGGGTCTGAGTCGTTCAACACAGTAGGGCATGGCGTTTCGGGCGCATGGTTTAGAATTTTCGTTTGCAAACGGAGGGTTTCGAGGTTCCGTTGCGAAGCAACAGGACGTGACAGGTTGTAAATACAGAGTTTCCGACATGGGAGCCCCTACTTTCCAGAAACATCTCGTATTCAGGCAGGTCTCTTGCCGAGACTCTGTTTCAGCACTCCGATTGCCTTGACTCTGTAAGTCCTGCGAGACGTTTGCATGTGGGGATTTCGATCAAGAGCATTGCCGCACCTATTGGCCACGTTATTCGTCATTCACTGCTTCTTCGCAGCAGCACACTTGTCTTGACGAGGATCATGCCCGGTCTTCCTGTCATAGGTGTCGCCTCTAGCCGCAAGCCCTATTCCCCGACCCCCAGGAGGATCTCGAAAGTAGATCCCCTAATTTTGGGGCCCTATACTACTAAGCGTACTTTATAGGAACCCGTATTAAGGGATCTACTTTTTAGATCCTCCCGTGGGTCTGGGATATGGTAAGTCAATTGTTCTGCCTGCACGACCCCGTGCTAAACCGTGTAGCGGCAACATTGTTGGACGATGCTGGTTGTTGCAACATCATGAGTATCAGTACCAGCGTAAGAACAGGAGCAGTGCCAACATCAGCCAGACAAGGATAGGTTAAGCAGTTAAGATGAACAACTATTACAAATACAAATACATAAATAAGAAAAATACATACATATATATATATATATACATAGATGTATACATCGCAGCCCCGGCGAGCTGAGGCAGCCGTCGAATTTGTTTCGGAGCAGTCGGGGAACTCGCAGCCGAAGGTGCGGCAGTTACGTGCGGCGTGGTTGGGATCACGGGCACTTGGAGGTTCATGGGTAGTTATAAGTAGGGTTATAAGTAGGGTAAGTGTACTTATAACCCATATTAGGAGACTTACAACCCTACTTATAATTACCCATGAACCTCCAAGTATGGGAAGCAGTTCCAAGAACGAAGCCGCGAAGATCATGGGGCAGTTCAAGGTGAACTCGATCGTGAGTTTAGCAGGATCTTTGCCCGAAGCTTAGTAACTTAGTAGCTGAGTGGATACACTTTCTGGGATAATATTACCCACTATAACACTGAAAGTATACACGTTTTGGGGCTCATGAACTCAGCAACTAAGGAAGCGAGTGTAGTTGAAACAACGACAGTCCCTGCCCCTTCACGCACGAAGCGTCCGAAAAGCTGAGGCAAAGCCCAACCACAAACCCGAACCACAATCCTTTCTTGAAGTTTGGGAGAGTAACTGACAAATCAAGTACTTATAACTTGGACCTTTGAGGTAAGATCCTAAACCTCTGAACCAGGTGTTCCAGCATTTGGGAGGGCGTGATGAAGAGGGCCCCAAACCCAAGAAAAAAGCCTAAGCCCTAGACCCTACTTAGAGGTTCATGGTACGTAGTAACTAGGGTTATACATAAGGTAACTATACCTATAATTGGTTATATCCCCAATCAAGGTACTCATAACTGTACTTACTAAGTCCCATGAACCTCCAAGTAAACCCCAAAGAAGGCCTAAGTTGTAACCAAGCCTCAGCCCTAGACCCTACGTGCAGCCTGAGACGCAAATCTTGACGCCCAAACCCTGAATCCCACACCAAGCCTGCCCCAAAGCTCTAGAGCCCTTAAACGCGAACCCCTAAATCTCAAATCTTAGACCAATCTTACCAAGCCCCAAGCCCTGCGCTCTAAACCCTAAGCCACGCCTGGACTCAACAAGTTCATCTCTAAATGCTGGTTCAGGGTTTATAAGGGTTTGGAGTTTAGGGTTCTGCATGATTAGAACAGGTTTTCGCGTTTTGTAGCATGCTTACACACGGACTTTGTGGGAATAATCATTGCTAACTAATCCGACCCCCAAACCCCATGCCTAGCCCTTAGTCGACAACACCCTAAACCCTGAATCCTAAGCTGAGCCGAAACCTGGACTCGAAACAACCTACCTGTGTGGGGCTCCCTATTATGACTTCCGTATATCAGTCCTTAAAGCGGTAGTTTCTTCAGGGTCCAGGAACCCTTCTGCGCCAGGAGGATGAAGAGATCCCGGAAGATGTGGAACAGCGCTGCAGGGGGCCTTGCAACAGGGTTTGGGGCTTGAGAGGTTTACGGTTCAGGGGCTTTGGGGTTTAGGCGAAGGCATTGAGGGTTTAGGGTTTGGGGCTTGAGGTTTAGGGGTTTTGGGTTTAACGGTTTAGGGAGGTTTACGGAGGTTCGGGGGCTTAGGGGTTTTGGGATAGGTTTTCAGGGGGAGGCGCTCTCAGAGGGCTCCCGATAGCCTGCCTTTCATATATCAAACCCTAAACCCAAAACCCTGAAACAAACTATAGTCTGTGCTTGTAGTAAAAGCGGGGTTTTGACCAAGACGTGTGATGTTGGTCCGCATCCAAACCCGTGGAGGGAGTTCTTAGCAGTGTTCAGCCTTTCCCGACTTAGCTAAACTCAAAAGGCCCCCTTAACTTCTCTAAACCCTGACCTCTGAACCCCCAAACCCCTAAATCCTACCCTAAACTCCTAAACCTACGCTATGCTACACTGAGTTCACCCTCACCCATAGGCTCCACAGTCAGTAGTTCCTTTTGGGGATTACCCTATGAACCCCAAAAGGCTCCATGGTAGTTCCTTATTGGGGCTCATATTTAGAATCCTATACTTGAAGGATCATGGGACTTAGTAAGTAGGTTATAATTGGGGTTATAAGTCCCCTAAGTGGGGTTAAAAGCCTTATTAATATGTGAGTCCTTAGAGCCGTAGGGTAAGGTAGTCCCAAAAAGGAACTACTAAACCGAGGCATGGACATTCTGATGAACCTTCCTCTGGATGATGTGCCTCCGGCCTGTCTTTGTACTATGGGAGCCTTAGTAATTACTTACACTATTCTGAATTTCCCTATCACATTAATGGTATAGCGGGCCCCAAAGCCCTATTCTAATTATTAAGGCCCCTATATTAAGGCCGAAACGAGAGGCTTCCGAGGTCGGCGCTTCGGATAGAAAGCCGAAAAGGGATTCGTCGAAAAAAGGGCCTTCGAGTGTTAAGATTTGCAGCTATGGAAGCTTTATAGTTGTGGGTTTTATTATGGTTTAGGTGCTCACGGTCTGTAGGGGCTGAAGAAATTTGGGGTTCATGGGACCGGAATGATTGCAGGGATTCTTGATTTAGGAAGTGTGGGTGTAGGTGTTCAGGGAAGAAGAACAACAATATCAACAGTAATGATGATAAGGGTTCGCGGGAGTTTGTCAGTTGTTAAGTTGGCCCGCGAAAGTTTATTGGTCATGTTGCAAGGTCTAGCAGTCTAGCCAGGGGCCCTAAAGTAGTTCCTTTTTGGGTGTGTCCTCTTTTTTTGATTAGGGACTGCAATATACTACCCAAAAAGGAACTACTTTGGGGCCGCTGGGTAGCAACATCAATGCGGAGCGGTTTTTGCATTGAGGTCATGACGCTGCACATTGTAGTCGACTGATGTTGGAATTCGCGTACTATCTGAAAGACAGGTTTAGGGTTTAGGGTTTAAGATGTCCGCGAATTACAACAGGGAGATCCGAACAGTCGCAGGTAGGGGTAAGTACTTCAGGAAACACGGAACCATAAGAGACCTTATGCCCGAAAACCAAAAAACCTCGATATCTCAGCTTCAGGAAGCCCTAAGACCTTAACACCCTAAAAGCCTATATACATAGGAACAAATCCCTTATAGGCCCAAAAAGCGTGTAACAATCCTCGAAGCCAGGAGACCGCAAACCCTAAAAGCCAGGAGGGCCGACTGACGTCTCTGGGCAGCCAGTCCCACAAGAGTGGAACCTGCAAGCCCTGTGCGTACTGGCCGGGACCTTTGGGTTTAGGGGTTTAGGGTTTAGGGGTTTACTTCCTGAAGTTAAGATGCTTTGGGGTCGTGGGGTTCCCAGAGAACCCACTACCCCTTAATCAGGGAATATGCCTTAAAAAATAGTGGCTTAATATTATGATCTATAAGGTATAATCCTTAATTAAGGGGTCTTTGGCTCTCTGGGTTTGGGGTTTTTGTGAATTTGGGTGCGCTGGCCAAGACCCCACTTTATGCGGCTTGAGAACATCTGGGGCCGGAGCAGCCTATGTCGAGGCCTTTGTACTAAGGATCCCATTTCTTGTGGGCTCAGCCTCATAGTTTCTAGATTCTATATTGAGTCCCGCATTCTCAGAAGCTCGCATACAGCGTAACGCGTGAAAGAAGTCAAGAGGTACAGGGTTCGCTAAGGGTTCAAGGAGGCTAGGTGGAGGGTTCATGCGTTGGGCTTTGCGGTTGAGGCTTTTAAGTTTCGAACTAGTTTCGGGTTCAGATTGGCAGTTTAGGCTTACGATTTGCCTAAGCTAAGTTTCAATGGAATATCTTACGACCGAGAGTTTATGTTTGATAGTTGTTGCTGCATCTTTGCAGCTTCGGGTTTAGAGCACAGGGCAAAGCACACAGGGTTTTGCCTTGTTTTAGGGTACAGGTTTATGGGTATTCAGCAAAGCTTCGGGGTCATAAGTATGTTGAGTACAGCTTAGGGCTTTGGGGTTGCAGTCCTCGTCTTGTCGGAGATCTTACAACACCAAAGCTCGCTAACTCAAGTTTGGCCCAGCAACCCCAAACCCCTTTTGGAAACTCCAGAAAGTTGGAATATGGTTTCATGGTAGGATACCCTATAATTTACCATAGAAGGGTTAGGATAATCATATTCCAACTTTCTGGCTTTTGCCTTATACCTTCAGCCCGATACACCGCAAGCCGGAACAGGTGTTTTTTTGTTGCTGTTGGTGCTTTTCTGCTGTTTTGCTGAAGCCCAGCAAGTGAGTGAACACCCAAACAGCAAGAACAAACAAGTCACCCTCCCATGCACCCATAGCAACAACGAAGGAAAACCAGCACCCACAGCGTGTTGGTTTTGTTATTGCGCTTGGTGCTGGGCATGTGTGTGTGTGTGTTTGTTGTTTGCTGTTATGTTTTTTTCCTTGTTGCTGGGTGTGTGTGTGTGTGTCTCATTGTTGCTGTCGTTGCGGAAGGGCTTTCTTCGATCCTCCTCAACGTGAGTTTCAGAAAACTAGGGATACCTCATTTGGGGGTCCTGATAGGACGGATCCTGTCATTTAGGATTCAGGGTTCAGTGTCAGGGTCCACACTACCAAAAGTCTCAAGACAAAGACACCTCTTGGGTATGGCCCCCACTCAGTAACAGTTGAATAATATTCATAATATTCATAATATACATATAATTAGGACCTTAATAGTAGCCCTATTATAGACTCTCACTGTATGTGGGCAGTGCCTAAGACACCTCAAAATGGAATGGCCGAGGTTCAAGAGAGCCTGCAAGCATGGTGTAGCTTGCTACAACTGCTCGCTCCCCAGAGTTCAGGGTTTAGGGGTTTAGGGGTTTAGGGTTTTAGGGGTTTAGGCGTTTGGGGGTTAGGGGTTTGGGGGTTTGGGGTTTGGGGTTTAGGGTTTAGGGGTTAAGGGTTTGGGGTTTGGGGTTTAGGGGTTTAGGGTTTAGGGTTTAGGGGTTTAGGGGTTAGGGGTTTGGGGTTTAGGGTTCTGCGCATTGTTTAAAGTTTAAAGAGCCTCCCCAAACCCCATGCTTCCAAGACGGAGTATAACCACTACGGTTACCACTGCCATCACAATTTTGTGGTCGGCATCGTCTACAGCGGTTTCATAAACCACGAAGTTCTAATTATGCAGGCGCCTAGACTACCAGAAATCACGAAAGATCCCCAGAGATAGACAATAGACAGTTAGAATACCTACGACTCGACACCTTCATGGCTTTCACGCCCTAAACCCTAAACCCTAAACCCCTAAACCCCTAAACCCAAAACTCTAAACCCAAAACCCTAAACCCCAAACCCTAATATAGAAATGCGTCAAGGCCACATCGCCCACGAGGGGCAGAAGCCGAAGAGACTAAGGCGAGATCTTGCAGTTCGGAGTATAGTAAAAGCCAGAAAGTTGAAATATGATTATCCTAAGCCCTTTATGGTAAATTATAGGGGGTCCTACCATTATTCCATATTCCAACTTTCTGGAGTTCCCTGTATGCTTGTTCTTGGTATGGGAGTTTCCGAAAATAGGGGACCCTAATATAGTAAGTACCCTGAATTAGAATCAGGACCCCAAAATAAGCTGCCCCCGCTTCTTGGGTACCAGGGCAGAGGGTTTAGGGTTTAGGGTTAGTTTTGGGGTTCAATGTTCAGGGCTTTAGGGTTTTAGGGTTTAGGGTTTAGGGTTTAGGGTCCGACGGATGATGCGTTGGAGGAGTGTTATCTGAGACACACACTGTCTTAGACGTCAGCACAAACCGGCAATCACAGTGCAGGCACGTAGTGTGCACCCTCAGTCTTGGTGCTATCAACAGCTCAGTAGAAAGGTCGTCATCTTGAATTCGCGGCTGTCGCGGAAGCTCTGCAGAGGAGGAATAGCCGCATGATCCCACATAGGACTTCTTCACACTACCACTACTGGTCAGTTCTCTCTTTGCTGTTGACACGAGTGGTGGTCGCACGACTACTCTCACGACAACCGCCGTTAATAACGCGAGGAGTACGATAGTGAGCTGGCTGGTATGCTGCAAGCAAGTACTTGTTGCTTCTTGTGGCTGTGGCTGATGTTGCCGCTGGTGCGTTCGGGTTGAGGGGAGTGGGAGCCGGAGCTGTTCGAGCTACGGAGACGAAGACTACGACTTGCTACTGCCCAGACAATGAGTGACTTGCCAATTCTCGCAGGGTAAACCGGATGCCCCCTCCAACTCAGTTCGGTGATGTGCTTGAAGGTGCTGTGGCTGGAGTATTAGACTAATTGTCTACAAGACTTGGTAGTGGTTCCATGGTGTACATACTAGGGTCCCTTTGTTAAAGCCAAACAGTAGGAAACGTGTACATTACCATGGGGCTACTCAGGAACCTAGCCTATCCTGTGCTCGTGCACCTTCGTTGTACTCCGGCACTTTCCAGAGACTCCAAGATCCCTTAATTCACGAAATGTAACGAATATACCGTAAATCATAGTAGGATCTCTAATATGAATTATGGTATATTCCTTAATTAAAGGGAATTGGAGTCTCTGGGGATCTGTGGATAGGTCAACGAAGGCGAAGATCCACAAGGACATCGGCCAGACTCTCGGGTTTGGGGAAGTCGAAGTTTCACATGCTCGTTTAGGGTTTAGGATTTAGGGTTTAGGGTTCAGGGTTTAGGGTCTAGGGCTTCTGCGGTAATGGCCCTTCAGAGTTTTTGGAGTTTACACGTGTTGGGTTCATGCCGAAGCACGGCCGCCCGCACGGGATTCGACCCTCACCTCTTTGGGCATAGGCACTGTTCTCGTTACAATCACAGAGTAGCATTTGCCATGAATCGGACCGAGGCCTCTCCTTCGACGGAGATGCCTTGAATGCTTAGACCTCCCAGTCACTGGTCTTTACATGCACATGATTAAAACAGCGAGTTCATGGCATATCCCAGATATGCGTCATAGAATGATGCCCGCAGCAAACCAGGTGACTCAAGTATCCCGGAGGAGGTCGAGTTGCCTCTCGGCAGCAAGCCTCTTCACTGGTTGAGAGTCCAGAAGCTCGTCCGAACATGTAATTATAGAATATAGGGCCTAAATAACTACCAATACTATCTTGGTGGTTCCTTACTACAATTATTGTAATTATTAAAGCTATTCTGGGCTCCAAAACCCTATTCCATTTATTAAGGCCCCTACAGTTGCTCCGGGACAGCGCCTCGACTCCGCAAATTCCCTCGAACCCCGCATCCACACCCTACTTGGGGGGTCGGGGACTTAGTAAGTAGATAGTAAGTATATAGACTTATAAGTACCCTAAAAGGGGCCCTACTTGGGGTTATGGTACTTGTAAGTCCCTAAAATAACCAGTTACTAAGTCCCCCTAAACCCTAAACCCTATACCCTTATACAGTATCCCTATAGATCCCTTTAAAGGGGCCCTTAAGGAACCCCATTATAGTTACTAAGTCCCCCGACCCTCCAAGTGGGACCCGCAAGCCGCCTTTACCCACAGAACTCAGGTTACGCGCGAGGCAACCCCAATCGCAGACATCGAAGCCCTAAACTAGGGGGGCTTATAGGGTTCCTTTAAAGGGATCTGTAGGGTTTAGGGTCCCTTTTAGGGCTTCTTTAAAGGTTTACCCAAAGGCCCCAAAGTAGTTCCTTTTTGGGGGTTCATATTTACAATTCTATGAGGTAATCCCAAAAGGAATTACTTTGGAGCCTTTGGGTACTGAAGGGTTATCCCTTAACCCTGCGCCCTCAACTCGAAATCCTACACCCGCATCCCTCAAAGCCGCAATCAACCCTGACAGTTGATGGTTTAGGGGTTTTGGGCTTTTGGGTCTTGTGCCAAGGCTTAAGGGGTCGACCGAGACTCAACGGGTCGATACACAGGGGCTGGTAGATGTTTCGGCCCTTTGGTAAGATAAGCTCCTGAAGAATCTCCAGGTGGCATTTTGGGAAACTTTGCAATTTCCCTTCGTAGTCCTGTACAGGTACTTGGAGGGTCGGGGGACTTAGTAACTGTTGATTTTAGGGACTTATAAGTACCATAACCCCAATTAGGGTCCCTTTTAGGGTACTTATAAGTCTACTCACTATCTACTTACTAAGTCCCCCGACCCCCCAAGTACCGATTCATACTAGTTTGAGGACGCAGAAGCTACGACTCAGCACTCTCCGTCGCAGCCAGGAGTCAGAAAGACTACAAGAAAAGCACGGCTGCAGCTGCCTCAGTCCGAAACCCTAAACCTCTAACATTGAAGCCTACTATACGGGCCTAATTGACTTCCTATACTATTTTGGTTTCGCAACCACCTGAGCACTAAGCCATGAAGTTTGGGGTTCCGCGCTTGCACTTGCGGTTGTTGCGAGGACCCATAAACAAAGCCAACCTTAAACCCCAGTTCCCAAAGACTGAACGTGGGTCCAAACATAGCTTCATGAAGCAAGCGCTCAAACCTTACAAACTCAACTCCAGCAATCAGCATCCCCAAAGCCGTCAACACACGATCTGCTCAAACAAAACAAGAGCCTCCCAATCCTATAAGTACAATTCAAAGAACATACGAGACAAGAGCCTGTGGTACACTCCGCATGTGGAAGGAGCAGTTGTGCCGCAAGTTGGCCCTAAACCCTCAAACCGAAACCCTGAAGGCTAAAACGCTAAAAAACTCAACCCTGAACCCCAGAAGGCCCAACCCTAAACCTTGCACCGAAACCCTGAAGCCTAAACCCTAAAACCTTAAACCCGAATTCTCGAAATATGCACCTTTGGTCTAGATCTCTAAATGGGAGTTTCCGAAAGTAGGGGACCCTAATATAGTAGCCTAAGTAGTAGGATCCTTACTATAAGGACTCCAAAAGAAGGTACCCCTAATTTTCGGAAACTCTAAACCCCTTATAGAGTTCCTTACAGTACCCTTATAGTAACCCTTCAAAGGAACCTTACGGTACCCCCCCCCCCGCATTTTGGGAAACTCCCAAAGTCCGAGCCCGGAGGATCGGGCCATACCTTCGGCTCCCGGCCCAGTCGGTGGTGAGAATGTGGATCTGAAGGTGGGGGGGATTGGGTCACCGGTTTAGGGTTTAGGGTTTGGGTTTAGGGTTTGGGTTTAGGGATTAGGGTTTAGGGTTTAGGGTTTATTGGGTCCCTGTAATAAGGATTACTATAAGTGAGGGTTTCTTTCAAGGTTACTATAAGGCTTCATCGAAGGGTGTAGGCTTATGTGGATCTGAAGGTGGGGGGGAAACAGGGTCCCTGTAATAAGGATTACTATTATAAGTGAGGGTTTCTTTCAAGGTTAGTTACTATAAGGGTTCACAGAACGGTGTGGGCTTATGCGGATCTGAAGGTGGGAAAGGGTTCACAATAAGGGTCATATAAGGGATCCCATACGGGTTTCTATAGAAGGGTTCTGGAAGGTGGAAATGGCATTACGCGTTTCCGAAGCGGGGGGGGGGGAAGGAATTTAGAAAAAGGGTTCCCATATGGGTTCCTAGAAGGATTGCAACAAGGGCTGCTATATAATAAGGTTTCCATTAACGCGGGGGGGCGGGGGGGGTTGAGATTTCAAGGCTTGGGTTGTGGGGAGGAGGGACCCGTTGGCCGGGAGTGGCTTATGGCTGAAGGAGTCGGTTGTTTAGGGTTTTGGGTCGAGGGTTTAGGGTTTCGGTGTTTTTTTGTCTTTTTTTCCCGGGCGTCAGGGTGTTGAGGAGGGGCACGGCGCGCGGATGCATTGGCAACCATTGAGGGTCCTACATTGGCCCTAAGGGTGAAACGCACCTAGAGCTCCCGTTCCAGTTCCCTTTCTTATCGGCTCAAAAACGAAAACTCTGTTGAACGGCCCTGAAGAGAAACAACGTTAGGACTCTGAGGGAACAGCAACTTGGGATTTCAACGTCCACGGTGTGACATTTGGAGGGATTCGGGAAAGATGTCGGTGCAAGTGACGACAATGAGAATGTGAAACTGGCAGCGAGGACGGTGAGTGATCATGGAACGCGTCAGTAGACTGGTGATGATCCTGATGATGATGACCATGATGATCATGATGGTAGCAATGTCGATGACGATGACGACCGACAGCATCGTGCAAGAAAGCTGCATGACGAACGCTCGCACTTGATGCACCGCACGAACGTTCCGTCAATTGCAGGCCTGGGGCGAGTTTGCCAAATGCCGAAAACCGCGGGTAACCTTTCAACCCTGAGGCTACCGGATCCAAGTTGATGTAGCTTTTCGTGCAACAGGTTCCTTCAATGTCAGATACTTCTGACCCTGACCAGAACAAGTACGCAAGTTCACTGCTTTCGGTCCCTAAACCCTAAACCCTAAACCCTAAACCCTAATTTCGCGAGGTCACAGCGGCTGTCTTGAAGCGAGTATCAATGGCTCGTGGTTTCAAGGCTGGGAGTGCCTGTGAAGCCGGTGGTAAGTCCCGCGCCCAAACATGCCCAAACCCTACGCTTCGCTGCATTCCAGCCTTCCCAAACTGCTGAGCGCATGCCTCCTAAGTTGTTTAGCAGTTTAGCAGTCTTAACATGGCACCTTTTGAGCGGTGATAGTCGGCACGACAGGGGCTTGTGTGGGATGTTTGCGCAAACCAGTCGAACAGGTGACAGAGCCACCGAGCGCAAATTATTCAGTGGATTCGGCGAGATCTCGCACGAAGACGTCCCTCTGAGCTGTGACGGCAACAGAGCAAGCCAGGCATGTCTGCGCCTTCTGCTGGATTTCCAAAAGTCTACAGGTTTGCTAGATCGGCTCTATGATGAAGCCATGCCCTACGGCTTCAAATGCTTCAAGGAGATGTCAGGATGGATTGTGTTGCACAATACTCATTCGTGCCATCCTACAGATGACACGGGTCTCCGAGGGAATCTTCAGTTCTGCTAGGGTTACTGCCGAGGTTTTTGTATCTATAACGATATCCATATTTATCTCTTTGTCTATATAGCTACGTTACACGATCTTGCTTTTGGGGTTCACGGTTTTCGGAGGACCAGTCAGGGCGATGAAAGCCGATATTATATATAAGCGGAGATATACGTCGGGTAACCATAATTATAGCCCATAATAGGGGACTTATAACACCACTTAGTAACTACCCATGAACCCTAAACCCCATACCCTTACAGAATCCCTATAGATCCCTTTAAAAGGGCCCCTAAAAGCCCTACTTATAACTACCCATGAACCTCTAAGTAGGGCTTAAGGGCTTAGAGGCTTGTGGTTCGCGGCTTGTGGCGTTGAGTTTTGGGAGCCCAGAGTTTTGCAGTTCTCACACCATCCAAAGCTACAAGCCCTACACCCTAAGGCTCCATGTACCCATATAGTAGGTGCTTAGGCCTTAAAGAGGTCCCTATATAGGTACTTTAAGGCCTAAGTACCTACTATGTGGGTACATGGAGCCTTTGGGACAACTGCCAATCTCAATACCGAAAAGATCCGCAAGCAGAAAGCGTTCAGCCATGAGAAAAGGACTGCCTGGCCGATCCGATATGCTACGAACCCTGAGGGTCCATGTACACACATATTATACACTTTGGCCCCAAAGCACTTATGTAGGGACTAGTGTAAGGCCGCTGTATACTATATGGGTACATGGACCCTTAGGGGAAGAACTTCTTGGCAAAGACTTCGACCGAACAAGGTCGAACGACGTTCGCAGTAAGCCTAGCCCCCGCGAGCCGATAACAGGGTTTAGTGTTTAGGGTTTAAGGGTTTAGGGTTTAAGGTTTGGGGCTTAGGGCTTAGGGTTTAGAGTTTAGGGGTTTAGGGTTTAGGTTTTAGGGTTTAGGGTTTAGGGTTTAGGGGTTTAGGGTTTAGGGTTTGCGGCTTAGGGTTTAGGGTTTAGGTTTTAGTGGTTCAGTGTTTATAAGG